GCATTCATATCTATAAAACAATATTAAAACATTAACAAAATACAGTGGTACCTCAGGTTAAGTACTTAATTTGTTCTGGAGGTCCGTACTTAACCTGAAATTGTTCTCAACCTGAAGCACCACTTTAGCTAATGGGGCCTCCTGCTGCCGCCGCGCTGCTGGACCCTGATTTCTGTTCTTATCCTGAAGCAAAGTTCTTAACCTGAAGCACTATCTCTGGGTCAGCAGAGTGTGCAACCTGAAGCGTATGTAACCCGAGGTACCACTGTAGCAACAAAGCCCTGTTGAATTTGCACACATGCTCTTCCCTCCACCATGACTCAAACTTTCATTCTATTCAATGCATGAAAATATACCTGCACGTAATGCTCTCCAAGTCAGCAGAGGTAACATTATTTTTTACATTCCACCCTCTACAAAAGTGTTTGAAATTCTGTGTTGTTGTTTTTTTATGAGAGACCCGTGCAAGAATAATAGAATGGTAGAGTTGGAAGGGACCACGAGGGTCATCTAGTCCAACCCCCTGCAATGCAGGAATCTTTCACCCGACATGGGGCTCGAACCCACAGCCCTGAGATTAAGAGTCTCAGTTGCTCTACCAACTGAGCTATCCTTGAGTGCCCCATGTCCAAAATGCTGTGCTTCTCCCCCGCCCCATGTAAATTAATCTGAAACAATGACCCCGTCCTTTCATTATACATAGAGAACGTCCTCCATTTTCCAAGATGCACACCCATCTTGGAGCAATGGAAATAATCAATGGGTCTGGCTCATTACAAAGAGGCAGTTGTCTGTAGAAGACCCAGGCCTGTTATGGGGTGCTGCAGATGTATAATTTCCCCTGGCCTTCCTAAAAGGCAGAGGTAGAAGCATTTCTCTGCTCGGAATTAGGTCAAATAATTTTTGACTGTTGCTGAAAACCGGTGTGCATGTCTAAGGCCTTTTGTGGTTTGGGTTCCTGTAATTAATCTCTGTATTCCTCACCTTGTCTACAAAGTGAAACTGATACTCTCTCTTGGTGTATTGGCTACTTTAGAATTCAGAACAGGATTTTTTTTTTTTTAAATGTAAATATTGCACATAAAGAGCTTGTGGCTAGGATAGATTAAGTCACTCTGGACTTAATTATTTGTAAGGCTTTTTATACTTCCCTTTTAGTTTACATTCCCAGAAGTTTGATGGTTGAGCAGGTACGCCGCCCCTTATCAGGGCATTTGCTGTAAGGGGCAAATCAGCTGGGCTAAAAATTAATTTGTTATTTTATTCGTGTTCCTCAGTCAAATCACTGCAAACAAGACTGTCACCTCCCCTCAGGCTTACAGTCTTAGTGAAGACACAGCGCTGTAAAGGGGAATGGATTGTGAGGCAGTTGGGAAATAGTGGTCGGATGTGAGCTCACACAAGGGATGTGTATGGCGGAGCAAAAGAACTACTGATAGATCTCAAGAGTAACTGGGGGGAAGGCTGTGTAGCTCAGTGGATAGAGCCATCTGCTTTGTGTGCAGAAAATGCCAGGCATCTTCGGTAAGGTTAAGCTATAGTGCGCACAACACTGGGCTAATGCACCAATGATCTGCCTTGAAATATGGCAGCCACCCAGTTCTCCTGTGATTTCCAACAGATCCGCAATGCTTTCTGATTCCCAATTGTTTCAACCAGGGGTTCCCAATTAGCAAAGGACTGTGGGAACCCCTGTTTTTCAAAAGCCAAGCGATGGACCCCACTACTTTTGAAATGTTTGTGGTCCAGGCCCCCATGCGCATACGTGAAATTGTGTAAAATGGGGAGCACCCTGGTGGCTTTCGAGGAGACCCTTTCTGGAGCCTGAAGAGGAGTGTATGGGGAACATCTCGCAAGCAAGGAGGACACGTTGTTTTCAGATTCCTGGCACTATGCGTATGTGCAGTTGCGTGCAAATAGATTGTGTGTAAACTGAGTTGCAAATAGACCTCGTATAAACTGAGTTGCCTCAGTTTGATATCCATAAATGTTGTAGATGAGGAGTCATCACAGAACGGTCAGAAAGTCTTATATCTTTAAAGTTATTTGGTTTTAGTGATTTCTGGTTAATTGAGCAGAATGTAACTTGAAACCCCAGGAATGGGGAACTTTTTGGCTCTCTATCTGTTGTTCCTGGGCTCCCAACTCCCATCAGCATAGCCAGCGGTCATGGATTACGGGAACTGGATTCCAACAACATTTGTAGGACTGCTGGTTCTTCACCCCTGCTGCACACATCCCCTTGTTCCTCCACAAGTAAAAGGGACTTTTAAAATGAAAGCATTTTAAAATGAAAGCTTGAACATTCAGCGAGGAGCCTGTGGTACCGTATTTTTTGCACTATAGGGCGCACCGGCCCATAGGGCGCACTTATTTTTTTGGGGGGGGGACAAAGAAAAAAATTTATTCCCCCCCCCAAGCTCGCCGGGCTGGGGGTGGGGGAAGCCTGAGCTTCCCCCGACCCCAGCCCCCAGAACGGGTCCGGGAGCGATGGCGAGGTTGCGCTCAACCTCACCATCGCTCCCGGAGCTTGCTGCTATCCAAAGCCCGGGGAGCGTGGCGCTGTAGCCCACTGCGCACCCAGGCTTAGGGCAGCTATCCGCAAGCCTGCGGCGCCCGGCGGGAACTCCCGCAGGGCTCCACAGGCTTGCGGATAGCTGTCCTAAGCCCGGGGTGCGCAGTGCCGCGCTCCCTGGGCTTCGGGCTGCAGGCAGCTATCCGCAAGCCTTCGGAGCCTGCGGGAGGTCCTGCCGGGCTCCTCGGGCTTGCGGATAGCTTCCTGAAGCCTGGAGAGCGAGAGGGGTCAGTGTGCACCAACCCCTCTTGCTCTCCAGGCTTCAGCGAAAGCCTGCATTTGCCCCATAGGATGCACACACATTTCCCCTTCATTTTTGGAGGGGGAAAAGTGCGTCCTACAGGGCGAAAAATATGGTAATCTGTGATGAGATCTCTTCCCAATATCCAAAACCCTGCTTCACAACAGTTTAATGTTTCTTCCACATTGCAGATATTTTGCCGTGGAGGGCAAGTCTCGCTATGACATGAGCACTTGAGGGACAAATGGCCGGCAAACAAAAAAAGAGTTTGGTGTCCGATATCAGTGATGCTTTATTGACCTGATGGAGGTAGACAGGGCCAGCCCAAGACATTTTGGGATGAGGCAGATCCCAAAAGGACACCCCCCCCTCCCTGCTAGGGGAGATTTGCACCAGGAACAAGGGGAGAAAGGAAGATCGACTTCTGGATATGTTGTCCCGGTGGATCCTGCCACCCGAGGCCATTGCCTCACCTTGCCACACAAGTGAGCCGGCCCTAGAGGCAGATCTTGGAGCATGTAGATCACCTACCATAATACTAATTCTAATACTAATAATAATAATTAATATTACCCTGGGCTGGGTGTTCATCAGTATGCGGATGATACCCAGCTCTACCTCTCTTTTAAATCAGAACCAGTGAAGGCGGTGAAGGTCCTGTGTGAGTGTCTGGAGGCGGTTGGAGGATGGATGGCGGCTAACAGATTGAGGTTGAATCCTGACAAGACAGAAGTACTGTTTTTGGGGGACAGGAGGCGGGCAGGTGTGGAGGATTCCCTGGTCCTGAATGGGGTAACTGTGCCCCTGAAGGACCAGGTGCGCAGCCTGGGAGTCATTTTGGACTCACAGCTGTCCATGGAGGCACAGGTCAAATCCGTGTCCAGGGCAGCTGTTTACCAGCTCCATCTGGTACGTAGGCTGAGACCCTATCTGCCTGCGGACTGTCTCGCCAGAGTGGTACATGCTCTGGTTATCTCCCGCTTGGACTACTGCAATGCACTCTACGTGGGGCTACCTTTGAAGGTGACTCGGAAACTACAACTAATCCAGAATGCGGCAGCTAGACTGGTGACTGGGAGCGGCCGCCGAGACCATATAACACCGGTCTTGAAAGACTTGCATTGGCTCCCAGTACGTTTCCGAGCACAATTCAAAGTGTTGGTGCTGACCTTTAAAGCCCTAAACGGCCTCGGTCCAGTATACCTGAAGGAGCGTCTCCACCCCCATCATTCTGCCCGGACGCTGAGGTCCAGCGCCGAGGGCCTTCTGGCGGTTCCCTCATTGCGAGAAGCAAAGCTACAGGGAACCAGGCAGAGGGCCTTCTCGGTAGTGGCGCCCACCCTGTGGAACGCCCTTCCAGCAGATGTCAAAGTGATAAATAACTACCTGACATTCAAGAGACATCTTAAGGCAGCCCTGTTCAGGGAAGTTTTTAACATGTGATATTTTATTGTATTTTTGGTTTTTATGGAAGCCGCCCAGAGTGGCTGGGGAGGCCCAGCCAGATGGGCGGGGTATAAATAATAAATTATTATTATTATTATTATTATTATTATTATTATTATTATTATTATTATTATTATTATATATTTATACCCTGCCCATCTGGCTGGGCTTCCCCAGCCACTCTGGGCGGCTTCCAACAAAATATTAAAATACAGTAATGCATCAAACATTAAAAGCTTCCCTAAACAGGGCTGACTTCAGATGTCTTCTAAAAGTCTGGTAATTGTTTGTTCTCTTTGACATCTGGTGGGAGGGCATTCTACAGGGCGGGTGCCACTACCAAGAAGGCCCTCTGCCTGGTTCCCTGTAACTTGGCTTCTCTCAGTGAGGGAACCACCAGAAGGCCCTCGGTGCTGGACCTCAGTGTCTGGGTAGAACGATGGGGGTTCTGCCGTTTAGGGCTTTAAAGAAGGTTCTGCTTTGTGGTGTTTAGCATCCCAGCTTGATTTGTTTGTAGCTTTCTCCTCCAGTTGGTCGACATGGTGGTCCCTGAAGTCGGGAATTGATGTCTGGAACTCAGAACTCCCTTCTAATTGTAAACCCCCCCCCCATGTGTCTTTTGGGTTATAAGAGCTTTAATGGAGATTTAATCTTATTCCACTTAAATGCTGCTTGTATTTGCAAACTTTAACAAGCCTATTTTAAGACCTTGCTCTTTTCGTTTTCGTTTTCTAACAGGAGGAGTCTCGTATTCTTAGAGTTAAGGTTGTAGCTGGAATAGATCTAGCCAAAAAGGACATCTTTGGAGCCAGGTATGTACATTCCTCTTTTTTTATTGCTCTTGTGGCAGCAGAATCTAAATTACTGAGGCAATTGCCTCTTTTGTGTTGGCAGCATTAACTTTTCAAAACGGACAGGAACTAGTAGTAAACTGGGAAAAGAACCTGTATCTGCTTCCTTTAATTTATGCCCTTCAATGCAATTCGATTGGTTCGTATTTTGCTTGGATTTATATGCTGTGCTGTTATGATGATGGGTTTTTTGTGTGTGTGCTAAAATAATAATAATAAACCAACCAATTTGCCAATCATTTGTATCCTACTCCCTTTCATTTCTTAAAAAGGCGCCTATATTGAGGTTTGGGTAATATGCATATTTATTATAACAATAATGGGGGGGGGAGTGGAGGATTCATGAACTACAGTAACTTGTATAAAGTAGCAGCTAAGTATAGAAGCTGTGAACAAGGAAGCTCCTGCTCAAACCTCATTTGATTCATGTGACTTTCAGAAATCCTGAAGCTGTGTTTGCATGTTTATCATAACAGGAGTGAACCTAGCCTCCCCACAGGCTTGTGTACTCTCTTTCCTCCTCTGACACAGCTTTGAGGAGTTTTTCAAATGCTTTTGCTCCTGTTTTGGATTAACCACAGTTTGCAGTGTCAGGCAAACCCAACAAACCGCAGTTAATCTTAACAGTAGTTTGTCTGAAACAAGCAAACTTCAAACCACGGTTTATGTGTCTGGCGAGTTTCATGAAGCATGAATAAGATTAAAAACTGTAATATTAAGCCGTAGTTTATCAAAAACAGGAGAGGTTCAGATTCTTTATGAGCAGGGGAGGAGGGAGGATGCACAAGTTGAGGGGCGCATAGACTTGTTCATGTCACCAAAACCTATAGCTGAGGGTGACACTGAAATTAAGCCTACTCCCCTATGTGCAATACGAGGATAGTAATTATGGAATTTTATGGGGTTGTTAGTATTATACTAAAATAATATATGTGAACTATTTAAAAATCAGCATCATTGCCATTTTACCGTATTTTTCGCACGATTGGACGCACCTAGTTTTTTTGGGGGGAAATAAAGGAAAAAAAATTTCCCTTTATTTCCCCCCCAAAAGCAGGTCAGGGAAACCGAACCAGGTCGAGGAACAGCGGGATAGTGGCGCTGCGCCTCCCTGCTGTCCCCCGAGCTTGTGGGGCTGGCTGATGTCTGCCTGGCGCGCGGGGCGCTCTGCTTCAGCGGGCCCCACCCGCCAGGCAGCAGGCTGCTATCCGCAGCGTGGGGAGCCCTGCGGGGAACTCCTGCAGGGCTCCCCACGCTGCGGATGTATGCCTGGCGCGAGGGGCGCTCTGCTTCAGGGCATATCTCGCGCCGGGCGGCAGGCTGCTATCCGCAGCGTGGGGAGCCCTGTGGGGAATTCCTGCAGGGCTCCGCACACTGCGGATGTCTGCCTGGCACGAGGGGCGCTCTGCTTCAGGGCGCCTCTCGCGCCGGGCGGCAGGCTGCTTTCTGCAGCGTGGGGAGCCCTGCGGGGAACTCCTGCAAGGCTCCCCATGCTGCAGATGTGTTCCCGAAGCGCTGGGCGCTCTGCTTTCAGGGCGCCCGACGCTCCGGGAAGCAGGCTGCTATCCGCAGCGTGGGGAGCCCTGTGGGGAACTCCAGCAGGGCTCCGCACGCTGCGGATGTCTGCCCGGCACGAGGGGCGCTCTGCTTCAGGGCGACCCTCGCGCCGGGCGGCAGGCTGCTATCTGCAGCGTGGGGAGCCCTGCGGGGAACTCCTGCAAGGCTCCCCACGCTGCGGATGTGTTCCCGAAGCACCGGGCGCTCTGCTTTCAGGGCACCCGACGCTCTGGGAAGCAGGCTGCTATCCGCAGCCTAGACACGGCTAGTGGAGCGCTAATCCCGAAGCTTGGGGCGTGCGGAGCTCAGCGCGCCCCAAGCTTCTGGGTGCCGGCAAGGTCTCCGCTAGACGGCTAGCGGAGACCTTGCCAGCCACCAGAAGCTTGGGGCGCGCTGAGCTCCGCACGCCCCAAGCTTCGGGATTAATGCAGCGCTCCGCTAGCCGTGGGAGAGCTGGGTCTCCCACGGCTAGCGGATAGCTTCCTGAAGCCTGGAGAGCGAGAGGGGTCGGTGCGCACCGACCCCTCTCACTCTCCAGGCTTCAGCGAAAGCCTGCATTCGCTCCATAGGACGCACACACATTTTCCCTTGCTTTTTAGGAGGGAAAAAGTGCGTCCTATGGTGCGAAAAATACGGTAATTCTTTTAATTCGTTGTCAGTCCTATTTGGTGTTGAATAATGTGGTGTTGATGATGGAAGGACCTAGTTTTTTGTGTGTTTTGGTTGGAATACCTGTGATGTTTTCATACAGTGTGTGTTACACTGCTCTAAAGACCAAGGTTGCCCAAAGCCGTGGACAACAACAATACCAATAACAGAACCCCAACAGATCTTTGTCCCCATCATTCAGCCCAGATACCTAGGTCCAGCTCCGAGGGCCTCTGGTGGTTCCCGCATTGCGAGAAGTGAGGTTGAAGGGAATCAGGCAGAGGGCCTTCTCGGTGGTGGCACCCGCCCTGTGAAACACCCTCCCGTCAGATGTCAAAGAGATAAATAATTATACAACCTTCCGTAGACACCTGAAGGAAGTCCATTAGTGTGTGATGTTCTCTTGTGTTTTTGCATGTTCTGTTGGAAGCTGCCCAGAGTGGTTAGGGCAACCCAGTCAGATGGATAGGGTACAAATTATTATTATAAAATGAGAAAACCACTGCAGAATGGGGGAATAATATACTCTGTTTAAAAAAATGCAGTTGTATGTACCAAACTGTTAGGTTTACAGACTTTGCCAAGTACAGAATGCCCCCCTCTCTTGTATTCATGGCGCAAGAAGCTCCCCCTGGTGGCTGATGAGGACATAGGTAGAATACTTAGGGGACTAAGTACATGTGGCGAATTTGCTCTCCAATTATTTCTTGCTCTCTAGACATTTCCCCCTTTGCCTCTCTGCTGTTCCTGTTTGCATCATGCTTCTTAGATTGCAAGCTATTATTTTAAACGTTAAACTGACTTGAGCGCTTTGCCAGATCGGTGGGGGATAAATGCAGCAAGTATTTGTATAAATGAATTTATATAAATACAGATGTATCAAACAATCTGGAACTTGCCTTAGTGGGCCCTTTTAATGCAAAAGCTGACCTTCCTACCAAAATGATAAAAGTTTCATCACATCCTCTTGTTGTGCCAGCTTCCTGGGTGAGGTTCTAGTTTTGGATCCACAGGTTCCTTGTTTGAAATCTTCTTCCCCTAAAACCAAAGGCTGCCTCTTCTGTTATGTTTTCTCTCCCCCCACCCCAATCTCTTTTAATGGCAGATTGCTCCCATTTTGCATAATTACCAAAAACACTATTAATTAGGCAACCCAAGTGACTGCGAACGCTTTTTAAAAAAAAAATCACATAAAATCGTCTGGATATCTGTGGCGCACAATATGATGTTTGTGTGTGTGTGGAGGAGGGTTTGGAGAACATGATCAGGCATGGTGATGAATCAGACCTTCGAAATAGCTAGGTATTTAAAACTGCAGCAATTTCAAGTCGTGAAGCAGCAGCTCTCTATTCCTTAATATGCCTTCTCCAGAATGATTTCCACTTTGGGTCTGGATAAAAGGTAAAGGTAAAGGGACCCCTGACCATTAGGTCCAGTTGTGACCGACTCTGGAGTTGTGGCGCTCATCTTGCTTTATTGGCTGAGGGAGCCAGCATACAGCTTCCGGGTCATGTGGCCAGCATGATTAAGCCACTTCTGGAGAACCAGAGCAGCGCACGGAAACACCGTTTAACTTCCAGCCGGAGCGGTACCTATTTATCTACTTGCACTTCATGCTTTCGAACTGCTAGGTTGGCAGGAGCTGGGACCGAGCAACGGGAGCTCACCCTGTCGTGGGGATTCGAACCGCCAACCTTCTGATCGCAAGTCCTAGGCTCTGTGGTTTAACCCACAGCACCACTAGGCATCGGGTATGAAGAGGACGCGCTTTGTAACTCTTATAAAATCAGAACTTGGGCACATCCAAGCTGAATGTTGGAAGGTTCAGGAGAGACAAAAGGAGGTATGGTTAAACTATGGAATTCAATGCTTATAGACATAGTGATGGCCAGCACTTTGGACGGCTTTAAAGGGATCTGGAGAAAAAGGAGGAATTTATAGGCTACTGACCTCTGTTGAAGACAGTATGTCTCTGTATCAGCGTTCGAAATTCGCCAGGGGCCAGGCGCATTTTGCACCTGGCTATTGACCACTTGTGACCAAGTGGAGATGCCTGGGAGCCAGGATGGCGCATGATGTCTCCACCACCTGGAGATGCATGCCTGGGGATCCTTGGATCTTGGTTGCTTTCACACAGTAATGCCACATCCCATAGAATTCTATCCATCTGCACAATCAGAATGAAATTCAGGAACCAAAAAGTTGTATTGAAAAATACAACTTTTGAGCCATCTGGTCCCAAAATGGCAACTGGACCTTCTGTTTTGGCGACTGTAACCCTGGTTTGAGGAGCCATTTGCTGCCTGGTTTATATATTTGAGTTTCTAACACTGCCCTGTATTTCTGGAAATAGCACGTGGGGTGACTGCGGTGGTACTCATGTGAACCTCTTATAGGCATCTTTTTGGCCACTGTGAGAACAGGATGCTGGAGTAGATGGGCCTTTGGCCTGATCCAGTATAGCTCTCGTATTCTTAAAGTAGAGTGCAGTGCCAATGAGCAAAGGAATATAGAGAGAAGAGAGTGCTGGGAAATGGTTACTTCAGACTAAACGCATCCGCCCGGTGCTTTTCAGGTCAAAACCATTATTCAGAGGCAATTAGGTATATATAGTAGTGTCTCACAATAATTCTCCCTTTGCTGTCTGCAGGACTTTTGGGCAGATTTGGCTTTCATCACACATCTTGTATCGCTGCTGAGCTTTTAAAATCCTGTCGGCTTTATTGCTGTCAGTCTGGAATATGCAACCTGAATTT